GAAGTCTAGAGCTGCGAAGGGACACCCACCTGAGAAGGCCAGGAATTCTTTCGGGCCTCGGTCCCTCCAACTACCCGGGTATTGGTTTCCAGAAAGTCCTGGGTGCTGTGTCCTTTGTGGGGCAGAAGAAAAGTGAGTGATGACTAAGCGTGGGGTCAGCCAGGGGTGGGAGTGGGGGCGGTGGTTGTGCTTTGAGGAATGTTAGCCTTGTCTGCAAATTTATAGCTCCTCTCTAACAAATGAGGGGCCCAGCTGTGAGTTCTCTGAGCCCCTTTTGAAAGCAGGAGAGGCTTAGTGCCTTCTGCTTCCCCCAGGTGTCCCCAGAACTCTGGCATGCTATGAAGGACCTATCTCAAATCACCAGCCTAGGGCCCCAGAGGCTCCTCGTGGTCTGGGCCTTACTCAAGGCCACCCCTTGGCTTGAAGGGATGCCCCCCCCACCAACCTGCCCTCAATACTCCTGGATTCTTTGGCAGGATTCCCTAGGGGGCAGGGACAGCAGTGCACATCCCAGCCAGACGCCAGCTGGGGATGGTGGGGAAGCCCAGGCTCCCTTGAAGGGGCTTCTCTCTGCTTTGTGACTCAAGGCACCTGCCACCCAAAGGGGCCTGCATGAGCAGTGGCCCTGACCTTTCCTATCTTGGGCTCCAGGAAAGTAAAGTTTTTGCTAGACCTACAGGCAGAGTGTCCCACCATGCCCTGGGATGGGGAGCTGGCCTGGCTTAGAGGCCGCTTTCCGACCCTCCGCTCAAATCCCCCTCACTATAGAACTCAAGCCAAATAATCCACTTACCGTAAAGGACCAAGGCAGCAAACACCAGGAAGCGCAGCATGTTGCCAGTGAAGTAGACCACTGCCCCCTTGCCATGAACCAAGCCCACTTTATACTTCTCTTATCAGCAGCTTTGCTGACCTTCTTCCTGCCAGCTGGCAGGGCTGCGAGGGGAAGGCAGGGAAAATCACAGGTGATATGGAAACACAAATGAAAAGATTTCTTTTCTTTTTTTTTTTGAGACAGAGTCTCACTCTGTTGCTCGGGCTAGAATGCCATGGCCTCAGCCTAGCTCACAGCAACCTCAAACTCCTGGGCTCAAGCGATCCTACTGCCTCAGCCTCCCAAGTAGCTAGGACTACAGTCATGCGCCACCATCCCTGCCTACTTTTTTCTATTTTTAGTTGTTTTGGCTAATTTCTTTCTATTTTTTAGTAGAGACAGGGTCTCACTCTTGCTCAGGCTGGTCTTGAACTCCTGAGCTCAAGCAATCTTCCCGTCTCGGCCTCCCAGAGTGCTAGGATTACAGGCGTGGGCCACCGCGCCTGGCCAAAAGATTTCTTTTCAAGTAAACTAATTTATCTGTTATTCAAAGACAGAACAAGGCCGGAGCTGAACTAATCATCTGCTTTTAGGTGAAAAGCATCCAACAAACTCTTTTTCAGAAATCAAATGGAGAGCTGGGACTAGCTTTTCCCTTAGGGTACTCCCGTCAACGTCTAGCACTGCCTCACTGTCCTCAGCGGCACCGTGAACGACCTATCCTGTGCACTAGCAGGTAGGGAAAAGGGGGGTGTCGGAGGGGCGGAGAGTAGTTAGCAAGAGGAAGGAAGACGCAGCAACTCCCCCTGCCTTAAGAGGGAGATGGCACATGCCCCCAGAATGCAAACATAGGTGCAAAGCAGGAGACAAAAACAAAGTAGGTGCAGTGGAGAGAATTCTGGTGGAGGAAGGCATTGAGAAACAGGTTTGGGGAGACTCTCAGATGGAGAGCCAAGAAGGGAGCTCCAGAGGAGAATGTGGGGCAGGTTAGGAGAGGGAACCCTCAAGGACAAGGAGACCATCTGAAGGCTGCGAAGGTGGAAAGCAGAGGGAGCAGGAGGGGAGGAGCAGGTGGGTCCTGCGGAGGGAAAATGCTCGCCCATCGAAGTCCAAAGAGGAAGAAGGAGGGAGGTGCACTGTACACCACTCTGTGAGGTGGGCAGAGGCCTTGGGTTGGGCACAAAATTATCAGAGCCATTGCAGGCCACAGAGCAGAGAACTGTGGGTGGAGCAGTGATGGTAGCAAAGCCGGGGAATTTAGGCAGAAAAAAGCCAGAAACCCAGAGGGAGGCAGAAAACTCACCTTGGCCCACCTGGACCTTTTTGTCACCTTGACCCTCCAGCATTCAAGCTTCATGTCTCACGTCATGTCACGAGGTGTGGAAAAGGCTGTTCATAGGAGTCAGCACAGACTGGCACCTTTTCGGGGTCCTTGAGCTATTCAGGGGATTTGCTCTTTAATGCTCAGACAACCTGGAGGGCTCCCTCTCCAGCCCAACCTGCAGCATTCTGATGCAAAGTGGACCTCTGGGAAGAGGGCTGAGCTGGGCTAGGGAACCTAGGGCCTCTCTTGTCATTCTTCTCCCTCTTTCCTGCCTCCCGTGGAGAGTAAGGAGACAGCTCTATCCCTGGGATGAGGAATCTGAGAGGAAGCTTGAGGGCCTCCTAAAGGTTACCTCTCGACATCACGTACTCCAAAGTGGTGAACCTTTAAGGGCAGGGCCAATTTCACATCCGTCTTTGTACCCTTGGCCTAGCCCAGAGAAGCCCAATCTGTATTTGCTTAAAAACCAAATTCTAGGACTGCATTTAAGACCCTCACAATCGGTGCCTAATCTCCCATGCTGGTCAGACTCTTTTATTCTCTTAGGGTTAGGTCTAGACAATGGCGTTGGCTTAAATTTTGAGGCACTGCATTTCTTCTAAGCAATTCTAATTCTAGAAATACATCCTTTTGAAATAATCGCAGGCATACATGTACTATGTACAAAATAAATGTACAAGGTTGTAGGTTATAATATAGTTTGTCACAAAATTAGGAAAAATGCAAATATTCATAAAAATAGGGGAAGGTTAAATAAGTTGGGTTTAACCCTACAATGGAATACTATGCAGTTTTTAAACAGAATGAGGTAGACTTTAATGAGCTGACATGAAAAGATATCCTTGGTATACGTGAAGAAAGTAAGCTGCAAACAACATGGTGCTGTGTGTGCATTTGTATATTCATAGAAAAAGGCATGGAAGGGTCTGTATACCAAGCTGTGTACAGTTATTACCTTAGAGAATGAATCAGTAGGTACGGGGTACCACGAGGATGAATTTCACTTTTTTTTAACCTCATATTTTTCTGTATTATTTGACTTTTCTCCACAGTATTACTTTTATAATTAAAAAGTAAAGAATAAATTCTGGGACATTTAGCTATTTTTGGTAATGGCCCCGATACTCTTCAAGTGGGAAATAAATCCCCAGAGGGGGACCAGCCCTTCAGTGCAAAAGTGAGAGGCTCCTGGAGCCAGATTATAGCACAGGGCTAGCAGCAAGGTTTTAAGAGTTGGTGGCCTTAGGTTAGCTCTGAGAGTGGCCAGAGGGGTGGGTTTTAAGGAAGAGTACAGGTGTAATTTAGGGCAAGGCCAGCCTTGGCTAAGGGGAAGGCCACAAAGCAGGTGCCACTCACTCCCACCATCACCCTCTCCCTCTGCTGGACCACTTCCCTTCCCTAACCCTCACCCCCAAACCTGGACCATCTCACTGCTGCATCTCTCATTTCCTGTGAGTTCCTCTTAGCTGACTGTTCCTGGGAGATACCATTTGGAGGCAGGTAGAACCTTCTTGGCACCAGAACAGGGGACCTTGGTTGGACACATATCACAATATGATTGGGCTGGGGAGCTGTTGGGTGATACTATAGATGGAATGAGGGTACTGGGATAAATGGCAAATGATCAATGCCTGATAAATGTTTGGATGTTTAATGCAATCAAGAGTAAGGCCAGGGTTAGGGTCCGGGACCACGACTCTCTATGGCTTACTTTACCTATTACCGTAGCATTCAAAGCCTTTCTCAATTGAGCCCCAACCCACTCTTCTACAGAGCTGACTTACCCAGTAGGAACAGTAGGTACAGTGCCCAATACTTGTAAGGGCCTGCAAAAATGTTTTAGATTCCTTTAAAATAAATACAATCAGCCTGGATTATATTTGTCTTTAGACCAATGCAGTTATCAAATATATATATATATATATATTTTTTTTTGAGATAAGGTCTCACTTTGTTGCCCAGGCTGGAGTACAGTGGCATCATCATAGCTCACTGTAACCTCAAACTCCCGAGCTCGAGTGAATCTCCTACCTCAGCTTCCTGAGCACCTGGGACTACAGGTGAGCACCAATGCACCCAGCTAATTAAAATTTTTTTTGTTTTTGTAGAGGCAGGGTCTCGCTGTGTAGTTCAGCATGGTCTTGAACTCCTGGCCTTAAGCAATCCTCCTGCCTCAACCTCCTAAAGTGTGAGGGATTATAGGCGTGAGCCATTGCACCTGGCTTAACTTGTAATATTTTCTTACGGAGCAAGGGTCCTATGAAGGCAAAAGTGCCCAGGGCCCACAAAAGTCATAATGTGGCCCTGATCTCCTAGCTTCTACACCCATTGCTCTCTCACCCTGATGTCCCCTTGGTTTCCCAGACCCACTTGTACTTTTGTCCGACTGTGGCTTTGCTCATGCTAGATCACTGCTTGTGTGACATCTCTGCTTATTGAGCCCTTCCCACCTGAGAACTCATTCTTTGAGGTCCTAGGTCTGATGTCACCATCTCTGTGAGGTCTTCCCTGATTTCCCTTAGCAGGAGTTGTTCTTTCCAACTCACCTAGGACATCTTTGCACGCCTCCAGGCTTGTGATGATTTGTTTCCATTTAGAGTATGAGTTCCATGGGAGAAGGAGCTCATCTTACATCTCATGTCTACACACGCTTGGCACACAATACATGGGGGCTAGATTTGGGGCCAGGCCATGTTTGGGGACACAAGATCACGGCTGTAACAGAACTTTTCAGGTGTGTGGTTCTTCACAGCCCAGATCAACTAATCCAGCTAAAGGACAACATGGGGGAAGAGGAACCCAATGAAGACTTCCTTTACCAATGCCATAAAACCTTTATTTCTACTAGGATCCCATGTGAAATTCTCTTTTCTTTCTTGGAATGAACTGTTCCTTTCTCCAGGTCACACCCTGGCCACTCTCCTTTCCCTTTGGCTGGGCTACCTCAGAATGTCTCCCCTACAGGGTCTGGAAGGCTCTCAGGGTGAACTGCATGGGAACAGGAGGCAGCTGCAGTCCCATGGCACCCTCATGTGGTGACAGCTTGCTATTGAAAGTCAAAAGCAGCCTTCCTGGATAGAATTTTTGTCCTTTGGGCAGCTGGGCAAAGGAGCCATGTGCAGCGGTGAGTCCCTGAGCTTGAAGAGCCGTATTCACATCTGGTCTGCTCCACAGGGGGGCTTCATGCAAGCACGGCAGATGGGATCAGTCTTCCAGTCAGTTCGACTCTGCGCGCTATCCCTGCTCCCTTGGACTTCCCAGGACTCTAGTTAGTCTTACCTGAGTCTTTGGCTTCAGGGCTGCCAATACCTTGCTGAGTGAGTGACCTTGGACAAATTCACCTCTCTGGTCTTGGTTTCATAATAGGAAAATGATAGGGTTGGACTAAAACAACGGTTTTCAAGTTGTGCTTACAGACTTAGAACTTTAGGAGCTAGAGGGCACTGCCCGCTCCTCCCTCAGTTTCATCCCTGCTACTTTGCTTTTTATCTACCTTTTCTATGGGGCTTAGAAACAAGGGTTCTGGGACTTAAACTTGGGAATCACTGGTTCTAGCAGCTTTCTTTCAACACTAACATCCCAGGATTCCCAAATGTGGTCTCCCCTCCAGTGGCTACCTGGCTCCATTGTTCTGCTTTATGGAGACCAACTGGCTAGAAATGACTGGGACAGAAGGCAGAGGGGATGAGAGCGCTGGTGGCTAGTTGCCTAGTGTTCTTGTGGTGTAGTGGAAGAAGCCCTGGCTCAGCATGGAAGATTGAGGCTCCGTCTCAGTGCTAGCCATCTGCTAGCTATGGGACTATAGGTAAGCTCTTTTACTTCTGTCTCAGTTTTCTTATCTATAAAATGGGTACAGTGGTTCCTGTCCTGTCTTTCTCACAGGATTATTGTGCAGATAAAGGACACGTGTCAGGGAGCTTTCTGTAAACAGTTCTGCAAACTTTGGGCAATATTAGCAAGAGAGGCTCTCTTAGACCTCTAATCCCTCTGCTAGAATACACCATTTCACTAGATTCTGCAGTTGCTGTGGATGGCCAGGGATTCAGGACGTGGCTACAGAAGTGCTTTTCTTAAGCTCAGCATTGCCGCCCTGGGCCCTCCCCCAGCTGCCTTCTCTGCTTTGGAGGCCTCTGTTTCCAGGACAGAAGGAAAGCCCTCGGCCAAGCATCATATGTCCTGATGGTCTGTTCCATCAGTGTGGAGGAAAGAAAATGAGCCCAGTGTTGCTGCAAGGAGTAGGAATGTCCTGTCTTGATATTCATTGGGTTTAGAAACCCATCTTTAAGGCCGACAGAGAAACTGACGATCGGGTTCCCAAACATCAGCAATCCTGTTTCCTGAGAGGCTTGTGGGGGCTCCCTTGGGGGATGATCCGGGTCCTAGACAAACAGCCACAGCTGGTGGGGGTCACTGGGATTGCAAGGGGCCATGGCTGGCTTTTTGTCCTGGGATGTCAGGCAGGTACCAGATCCTGAGTTCCTGATGAGTTGATCCTAAAAGATGACACAGCAAAGGGTCAACCTGGGCCACAGACTGTACTACTGAGGGTAATGAGATGGGGGGCAATTGGTAAAAGGCAAAGGAAACCCAACAAGGTACAAAGACACTCTTAATTCCTTTCCTGGGATGCCAGACTCTCTGATGAGAAGCATTTCCAAGTGTCCATGTCTGTCTGGTGCCAATTCCCCATCCCCGGCTTTAGCCTGAGTGGATGGAATAAAAAAAGATAAGACCATGGCCAACAGAAAAATGCCTTGAGGGTCTCCCCCTCCCCTAGATGGCCAGGCTCAAAGATCTGGGGCCACTGCTGCCCACTCCCAATTTTACGCCTTCGATTAATGTTTAGTCTCCTTCCTTCCCTATAGCCTCAAGGTTAGGTTCCTCTTTTCCCAAGCTGAAGTGGGGTGTGTAGGCTCACTAGGAGTGCTGGCTTGAGCTAAGTACAGTAGCACTTACATCATTTATCCTGAAGCACGTGGTGTAATGGAAAGAGCCTAGGCCTTCAAGTCAGACTGTTCCCATGCCTGCCATTTACTAGTGATGGGTCTTGGGCCAGTTACAAAAAAGGAGATGCAGATGTGGCCTCAGGTTCTTGATTCTGAGCTTTCCAGGCGACTGACTCACCTGGGTCAATTCCCATTCCTCATCCTTGGGGACTTGGCTATTTTTGCCAGTGAAGTGACAGCTCCTGAGGCCCAGAGTGTCTGTGCTGGCATGTAGACACAGCTGCTTTGCTATGTTGTGGCGAAGGTCCCTCTGGGTTGTATACTCGAAGTACTGGAAGTGAAGACAAGAGCAGGTCTTGAGGAGCCAGTGGAGAGTTCACCTACCACCTTCTAAAGCCACCTGCTCCGAGATGCCAGCCACAAATTGCCTCCTGGGGAGGAAAGTGAGCCGGCGAGGCCATGCCAAGATGTTAGTAATTTATATTCTGCCTTCATGATTTTTGCCATATCTGGGTTAGACTGGAATAATAGTTACTTATTTTCTTTAAACCAAAAATTAAAATTTAGCCTCACTTTAAACATCTGTGAAATCATGTGTTTAACATGCTGATTCTATTTTAGTTAATAAATTACTATTAAAATTTTAAAAATGTCCTTCAATGTACAACCTAAAATCGTCTTGCAGGCCAATGGTACAGGAAACTGCATTAGAATGACTGTCTTCATTTGCATAGGCCGGCAGTCTGTTCCAAGTCCCATCCCGTGACACCGCCTTCCTTGCTTCTGCTCTATTTTAGGTGGCTGTCACTTACCGGGCACTGGGCATTCAGGGTAGACTGAGGGCAGGGGATGGGAGGTTACTAGTTATTCCTCAGGGACACACTGGGGCATTGTGAGGCATGGGGTAAATTCTCAGGACCTCAGGTAACTGAGATGTCAGTAGGTGGTTGTTTGGGGGTCACTGCTAAGTGATAGGGTGGTAGCTTCCAGGAGAGGAGGCATTGAAGATAGAATTTGAATGCAGATAAGGGAAAGTACTAAAAAATTTTCCATACTCACCCCCAAATATCACCCAGCAGCTGGCCTCCTCCAGTGAACCTCCTCTGATTAACAGTCCTCCTACCCATCCCTCTGCAACACCCATCACTGAGGCCGTGTTCTCTCTGGATGTCCCTAATTCAGACTTTAGACTGTGTGTGTGTGTGTGTGTGTGTGTGTGTGTGTGTGTGTGTGTGAGAGAGAGAGAGAGAGAGAGAGAGAGAGAGATGCATTTCCCCTCAGTCTGGAAGCCTCCTGAAGGCAAGGATGGTATCTCTTCCTCCTTCTGGAGCTCCTCCAACCCAGTTTTCAGGAAACAACTATTTAAGGGAGAGAAAGGGAACCCATGAGGAGAGGAGATGCCTCAGAGACAGGTTGCTCTTGGGCCTGCCCTGCTGCGCTTGGGCTGTATACCTGGTTGCCGCCAAGGCCGTGGCAGGAGTACATGATGAGGGGCTTCCCTCCACGGTTGTTCTCACCCACATCCAGGCATTGGTTGATGCCGAGGTTCTTGATCTGCAGAATGGTAAGCAGAGAGGGAACCAGGATAGCACAATCAGGTTTCCTAGTTTGTGGTGAGGCACCCAATGGGAACAAATTCTAGTCAACTGGAATAAATTTGCATGGCCAGATTTCCCCTCTGTCATTTTTCTCCTCTGTTCATTAACCCACACGCCTGGAGTTAAAACCAAAGTGAGGTGCACAGCCACAGAAGCTGGGAAGGGCAGGACTGGGTACCCACTGTGGGCCAGGATGGGGAACCTCTGAGGATGCTGGGTCAGCACATGGGAGATCCCTTATAAGCAGTGGTTCTCGAAGTGCGATCCCCAGACCATCAGCATCACCTGGGGCCTTGTTAGAAATGCAGACTTTCACACCCCATCCCTCTCAATCAGAAACCCTGCAGATGGGGCTTAGAGTCTTAACACTGTCTTCCTGGTGATATTGATGCATGCTAATGTTTGAGAACCACTGCTTATGGGCTGTTTTCCCCTTATAAGGATTTTATCTATCTCTAGAAGCCCCAAAGTGGCCTCTCGGTCCTCTTCCTGGATAAAGGAGGGAGGAGGGTAAAAGTCAATTTTTATTTGTTATCCATCTGTGGGGTAAGTGGTCTTGAACTTCTTCTCTAGGGGGTGCTATGATGATGGGTAGGCAGGTGGGTCCTCAAGACTCACGGCTCCATAGAAGGTGGGTGTTAGGTCAGGAACAAACATCTCTGGGTAGATGTTGTGCAGGAACCAGGAAAAGTTGTGACAATGTAGTTGTTCCCTCAGCTGCAATCGCTCCGAAATGTCACCGAAGGATTTCTGTCAACCAAGCCAGCCCCCTAAGGGTCAGTTCCACCAGTCTTTGACCTTCTTGTCTGGGCTAAAGTCCAAAGCCCCTGCCCAGCTTTGAGACCCCTGACCCATAGACTCCCCTACTCCCTCATCTCCTGTGACTCCCTTGGTCAGTTCTCTCCCAGTCCCCAATTCCGAGCCATTCCTCCTGTAAGAGGTTCTTTTCTCAAATCTCTTCTCCCTCTCCTCTCCCCCAACCCCCACCTGGAATACAAGGACTCTTCAGGTAGGGACAACATCCTGTAGCCGTTAAAATCTTTGTGCCCTGGGGCCCTCCCTGGTCTCTAGCTTGTGAGCTCTGAGGGGTGAAGGGAGGCACCAGATGGCAGAGATGGGGTGGGCCTCCGCCCTTAAGCCCTTGACCAGGGTCTGAGATTTGTACTTCTCTCCATCCAAATACCTGCTGAGCACCATTTCCTCTCACCTCTTGGGCAATTTTTGCTGCCTGTAGATTTCTTCTGTAGAAAATCATCTTGTAGTTGTCCATCCAGACCTCAGCCAGGCGCACTTGATTGCGAGCAATGACACTGGTGCCCTTGGGGAAGGTGTGGGGGCTCTTGGTACGGAACACGTGGCCTACCACAGAGCATGGGATGATCTCCAGTTGGCCCCCACACTGCCACACCTGACATAAGAGGAGACAGGGTGGGGCCTTCAGTGGGGCGGGTGGAACAATCCCCTAAGGAGTTCTATTCTGTCCCCACAGTGCCAACCCCAGGTCCAAGGACTTGGGCAAATGCTGCTCTCTCTCCCTGGAAAAAAGGACATTGACTAAGCTTCTTCCTAGGCCATGACTACACAATCCCATGCTCTCTGACATTGGTTCATTCTGATTTAAGCAAACAGAGAGTTGCAGGGTCCTGAGGTTACCAGGGCTCACTTTAGAGAAAAAACTTGGTTAAGTTTTGTTACCTATGTCTATATAACTACTTTGAGCTCTGATCACTTGGCTTTTTGACCTGGAAATATGATTTTATCAGCTTACCCAGGCATACCTGGCAACTAAAGCTCTCCCACATCAGAGCATCAATGTATTAATTAATAGCAAGGACAGTCAACTGCCAGGTGGCCAGTGGTAGTCACCTGGACCCTTAGCTACTAGCTTATGAGCAGAGAGATTGAACAGAGGTCAGAGGCTCACTGAGGAGCCTAGGATCAGAACACGGAGTTATGGTGCTTGGCTGGGGACCCTTCTCTACGCTGGTGGGCTGGTTTAAGACATCCCTCTCATTGGTCTTCTCTCTTGGGTTTTAGATGGGAAGATATGTTGTTATTCTTTTTAGTTTGGCAGTAACAGAAATACATAATCATAGTTATAGTATAGGTAAAGTTATAGTACCTCCTATAGTAGAGTAGGTGTCAACTAAACGATTAATATGTGCCAGACAGTGTGAGAGGTGACTTCATAAATGACTTCATTTACTTACTAATTACTTTTCCATGTCATGGGGATTTGTGTAGGTTTCATGGAGAGGCAGTCTTTTCTTCCTGACCTAATCCTGATTTGTCTAATTCCTGGAATCCCTCAGAGTTCTGGGATGCACCAGAACTGGGGCCAACATCTTCTCCTACAGTTATGAAGAGCGTGGTAAGCATAGGTAGGGAAACTCCAAAGGCTACCAGAACATAAGTCCTTTGGCCTGGGAAGGGGAACCTGATTTTTCCAGAAAAAGGACAGTGACTGGTTACTGACCTGTTTCTACCCTTACCCTAACCCTATTCCCACAGACATCACAAAAGAGTCCCAAGTCCCCAGATGTCCCGTCCTTATTATCCCCTCCTGCTGAGAAGTTCTGCCCAGTAATTTGTTTCAAGCTAGCCAATCTGATTGCCAAAGCCCTACTTCCAGACAGGGACGGGAGCAAAAGAAGGGCGGAGCCATGATGGAAAACAGCTGAAAACAGCCACCTTGTTAAGTTCAGTTCCAGATGTGATATCCCTGAGGCTGCCGCTGCTAGTCCCTTGGGATGTTGTGCGTCCCCCCCCCACTCCCCGAAGCCCTCTTCACTCTCACCCGGAAGGACATTTCCACGTTCTCCCCTCCCCAGATCTCCATCTGATTATCATAGGTACCGATGTGCTCAAAGTAGGACTTGGAGATGGAGAAGAGGCCACCAGCAAACGTCGGGGATCTGGAGAGACAGAGGGAGAAGCATGTATATCTTCTGGGGGAGGAGGAGCGGGAGCCTGGCAGGGAAAGCTGTTTGTGGAATCCCCTCCTCGGCCTCCTACCCTATCTCCCCGCCTTTCTTCTTTCCCAGGATGTGCAGTCCCTCCTTCCACTAACTCATTCACTTAGCTTTTACTCTGTCTTCTTCCTATGCTAGGACCAGGTCAAGGATAGAGATAATTATCCTTACTCTAAAAGGCACTCATTCATTCATTCAACCAAGGGTGCATGAAACACTCGCCACCAGGGCCTGTGCTGCATGTGGGACATTACAGAGCTGAGAAAGACAGTTCCCATTCCCTGAGAGCTCAGTCTTGTAGCAGCAGTTAAAGCTACCTTTGTTTACTTTTTGGCAGCAAAGTGCCTGGAGCATAGTAGATACTCAATTTTCAGAAGCCTTGTGAAATTGTTTTTGAAAACGGGCAGGATCCAAACTAGGAATAAATGAATATTATTAGCTAGGCTGACCCCATTGTGTTTCAGGATCCCTGGCCCTTTGGGGACTATAAAGCCACAGTAGTAGTAGGAGCCTAGCCGCAGTGCTTTTTACTGCGTGAGAAACTTTAGCTTTGGGGAAAAGCCGTCAGTTGCTTTGAACAGGGGAAACTGATAAGAGGTGTTTCCCACCAGAGACAGAGTGGGAAGTGAGGTGAGATCAAGCTCAATTTGGACTTCAGGGGCATTTGGGAGGTTATAAAAAGATTCTGGCTTTCAGACAAAGGTAGGGAAGCACAGACCCAAGTTAAGATAAATTGAAAAAAAAATCTCATACCTAGAATTTAGGTACCCGGTTACTCATAAGAGGGGCTGGGCTAAGGGTTCAGGTACCCAAGTGGACAAGGGGAGGTCTAAGCCAAGGGGAAGGCAGGGGCAGGAGCACATCATCACTAGCTGTTGGCTTCCATGTCTTGGCCAGGCTGGCTTGGATACAGCTTTGCTGCCCTCAATGGGCAGCTTCACGTGGCACAACCAAGTGGAAAGATACCGAAACCTTCTCTTTAACTCCAGAATCTATTAAGGTACCTTGTACACAAAGTGCCAGAGCCAATCAGCGTTCATTGTCTCATCTATCAAGGTGACTACACAGGAGCTTGACCTTGGTGTTACACTGTGGCTGCTCCTGTCACCCTGAAGTTGGCTCCTGCAGCCACCTTTTGGAAGAACTTTCAGTCGGGAAACCCTCTTGCTCAGGTTGGCTTCCTGTCACTGGTTCTGGCCTCTCCAGGGGTCCTAAGCCAGCCCAAATAGTACCCTGAGAGGCTCAGAGAGTCCTGGAACTTCAGATGAGTGCTTTGAAGCTAACCTGCTTCCTCTTGAGGGCCTCCCCCACAGCGGCCTGTCTTTGTCTTTGCAATCTTGATCTTGCATATTGAGAAGTCTCTGGCAAATTAGCTGTGAGGATAAACTCCCCATAAATCCACAACCAACAAGCAACCTCTAGGAAACACCCTGTCTTTCTTGGCCTACTTCCTAGGATCCCCTGGGCCCTATACCTCTCCTCGTAGCCTCCCATTAGCTTGAGAGGTGAGGGTGGGAGGGTACCACCAGCAGTCCTCCTGGTGGGGTACTACGAAGTGCCTTGGCAAGCTGTGAGTGCCACCAGGGCATTTGGACCAAAGAGCAAATTCATTCCTCAAACACTGGAGCTTTGTCTTCCAGTTGTATGGTCCTTGGACATTGGAGCCAGGGACGTCAGCGATGGGCGGGGGCCAGGTGCCCTGTTCCTGTCTGTGCCGCTGTGTGCCTGGCCTCCAGCTGGGGGAGGGGGTGGGATTTGTTGCAGAACACACCAAACAAAAGGCATCTATGAAACAAGTGGAGGGGCAGTAGAGAGTTCCAATTTCTTTTCTCTCTCCTGCCTTCTCTTTTCCCTCTCTCCTTTTAATGGAGCTAGAATAGCTGACTGTTCAGGATCCACGGGACTCCTCCCTATGGCACCCATCTGAGCCCTCTCTGAGACTCACAGCAGCATTCTTTGGATTTTGGGCACGTGGAGGGGGAACAACTCCAACTCTTTCCCCTTTTCAAACCTTCCCTCTATCGCTGGCCATGTTTCCCCAACCTCTGCTTCCCTCCATCCCTGATGTATATTCAGTTGACCCTTAAGTCTCCTGGCCAGTACGAAAGCAATGGCACACATAATCCCAAACCATAGGATACTCTAAAAGTCACTCCCCAACTCAGTTTGTCTGAGACAACTGTTAAAATAAACTTGTGGTCTCTAACAACAGCAATGGGCAAACTGGAGAGGGAAGGATAGGGTAGGTATGAGAGGGGAAAGCAAGCCCAGATGGGCATTAAACAGTGGATTAACTTTCAACTATCTGCCCTATAGCTCAGGGGCTGGCATGCTATATCCTATGGGCAAAATCTGGCCTAGCTGCCTGTTTTTATTAGGCTCTGGGGCAAAGAATGGTTTTCACATTTTTAGAGGATTGTTAAAACACCACCACCACAATAAAACAAAGAAGAATATGCAACAGACTCTATGTGGCCGGCAAAACTTAAAATATTTACAATCTGGCCTTTTACCAAAAAGGTTCAGGGCAATTGCAACAAATTTCAAACTGCAAAAAACTTACTTTCTTTTAATATGTTCTTGGTCTTTTCAAAGACAGTGACTGGGGGGCACATGCCACCCCTTCTTATTACAGTGGCTATTCCATAATGGCCTCTACCTGCCATCTCTCACCCCCTCTGCAAGCACTGGCCACGTCCTTCTATGTGTAGGGGGGAATAAATGAGATAAAGTATGTACAGTCCTTAGTCCAGTGCCTGGCACACAGTAAGTGCAACAGCTTGCAAGAGCAAGCTGTCATGGTGGGAGGCAGTATAGTGCCACGGTTAGGGCTTTGGGTCAGACAGCTGGGATGTTATCCTTGCTCCATCATTTGCTAGCTGCATGGTCAGCTGTTTATCACTATGAACCTTAGTGTTCTCACCTGTAATATAGGTTAGTCATAGTATCTACTTTATAGGGAGTGAGGATTAAATAAAATATGTCAAGTGCTTGATAAAGTGCCTAATAAATGTTGACATGAGCTGGCACAGGTCCCTGGAACCGGGTGGGACTGGGGCCACGGAGGCCAGGCTGGGGCCTCACTAGGCTGTGGTCCTTACTTGATGGGGTAGGTCTCATCCTTGCGCCTCTGCTTCTCATGTGTAGGTAGAGTTTCCCAGCCAAAGGTCAGGCTCCAGTCAAAGTTGCCACGGCTATGGACTCTGCCCCTCTGGACGGGCTTGGAAAACTCGAAAGTGTTAAGGTCAATGGTGACGATGTCTGGGCTCACCACCACTGTCTTGTCCTCGGCGATCCGAGCCAGGAGGGGCTCCAGCCAGCCGTGGAAGCACTCGCCTGCAGGCCCAGCCCAGGAGGCAGAGTCAGAGTCCTACCCACAGCTAAGCCCAAGTCCCACCCCGGGTGGGGAGACCCAGGAGGACAAGAGGACCCTGTACCCATTCCCCAGTTATGGACAGAGAAGCACAAGCAAGCCCCACAGCTGCAGGGAACATGGAGAGATCTGAAACCCTCCTCCCACCACCACCCACCCCCAAAGGGGGAGGCAGCTTTGGGAGGATGGATGGAGGTCTCAGAAGATAAAGTGGTCAACTCAAACTATCCAAGCACAGAGAAGGCCCTAGAGATGGCTATCTTGAGGGTTTCCAGCCCATCCACTGAGTCGGCCCTCCCCACCCAAGTGTGGACTTCAGAAGGCGGTGTTCTCTCTCCCAGGGGTATCTGCATCTCAAGCTTCAGCCTGAGCTGTAGAATAATAATAATCCCTTTCATTTGCCTAGCTATTTGAGATTTTCAATGAACTTCTGCATATATTACTGCATTTGACCCTCAGAGTAATAACTTTGTTAGGTAAGGCTGGTATCATTCTCATTTTAACAAATGAGGAAACTGAGGCTATGTTAATGGCAGAGTCAGAATGTAAACCCAAAATCCTGACTCCAAGTCTAGCACAATCCCCAATAAATATCACTGCTCTTAGGGAACAATTTTTTTCCCTGACAACAGTGGGGAAGTGTTTTGGTTTTGGGCAAGAAGGAGGCCTTCCTGGTTCCATGTGGCCCTATAGGAAGGCCCCAAGCAAACCAGTTCTCAGTGGTAACAGGAGGCCTCTGTGAGGGGGCTGAGCTCAGAACAAGGTACACATGAGGGGTGAGGGGGAGGGATGAGTGCCTGAGGCCCCAAAGCACACTTCCAGCTATTCTAGGGTCACCAGTTGTTTTAGGGCTATTTGTGCCTCCTGGTAACACATTCTTGGGATTGTGGTGAGAGACGGGGAGAAGCAGCTAGAGTGGGTCCCAAGCCTCCCTCACTCCTGGAACAGCAGAACAGGCCTTGTGGCGCCCCCTGCTCCTCATCCTGCCAGGGAGGGAGGCACCAGGCTACAGGCAGCCCAGCGCTCTGTACTCACAGTGGGCGTCCAGGAACGTGAGCACCTCTGCCTGTGCCACGCTGGCCCCCAGCAGCCGGGCAGTGATCAGGCCCTTCCGCTCCTCCTGCCGCACTACCCTCACCACCTGCAGCTGCCGCACATACTGCTCCAGCTTCTCCTTTAAGTACTCTGCAAGGGACAGGGTCATTGTTACCAGCTCACCGCTTTGTTGCAAACCTAATCCCCTGTGGGCACCAAGCCCAGGGCTCCTGAGTCTCCAGCGGGCCTGAATTTTAACCCTCTCACACCTCCTGCACTAAGCCATTCCACAGAAGCTGAAGGCAAAGAAGGGGGTGGTCGGGGAAGATGGGGAGAAGGAGAAAGCCCTGCCTGTGGCCAGGCCCACCTTGCCAGGGCACTGGCTCTGTGGTGACGGATCCTGTCCTGTTTACCTGGGCACGATCTCTCATGTCTGGGACAGCACCTCAGAGTTGTGTTTCTTTGGTCTCGAATCAAGCACAAACTTCTGACACAGGCTCTCAGGTACCCCTCTCAGGATCTCAGCCCCCACCTTTCAGAGCTGCGATCCGGTTGCTGCAGTCACTTCTGTGTCTGAGTCCCTGTTTCCCAAGCTCGTCACAGCAAGTTTGACAGGCAGACCACACAAAAATGTTGTTTCTTGCTAGACCAGCCCCAAGAAGTCTTACTTTAATTCTCATTATTATCTTCTCTGCATATGGAATTTTTTTATTAAGAGAGAGGGTCTTACTCTGTTCTCTTTTTCTTTTCTTGGAGACAGAGTCTTACTCTGTTGCCTGGGCTACAGTGCCATGGCATCAGCCTAGCTCACAGCAATCTCAAACTCCTGGGCTCAAGCAATCCTCCTGCCTCAGCCTCCTGAGTAGCTGGGACTACAGGTACCTACCACCACGCCTGGCTAATTTTTTTTTTTTCTATTTTAGTCGTCTGGCTAACGTTTTCTATTTTCAGTAGAGATAGCGTCTCACTCTTGCTCAGGCTGGAGGGAGGCTTACTCTGTTCCCAGGCTGAAGTGCAGTGGTGCGTTCATAGCTCACTGCAGCCTCGAACTCTGAGCCACTGCGCCTGGCCTGGAATTCTTAAGGATGAAAACATGCCAAGCAGCTTTTTAATTATATTAAAAAACAAAACAAAAACAATTGACTTGGTGCAGTGGGTCATGCCTATAATCCCAGTGCTTTGGGAGGCCAAAGTGGGAGGATTGCTTGGTCCTAGGAGTTTGAGACCAACCTGGGTAATATGGTGAGACTCTGTCTCTACAAAAAAAAAAAAAAAAATTAGCTGGGAGCAGTGGTGTACCTGTAGTACCAGCTACTTGGGAGGCTGAGGCAGGAAGATTGCTTGAGCCCAAGAATTCGAGGGTACAGTGAGCTATGATTGCACCATTGCATTCCAGCCTGGGTGACAGAGCAAGACCCTATCTCAAAAAACAAAATAACAACAACAACAAAAAAAAAAACCCAAAATGCACCAAGTGCCTACCATGGGCCAGGCACAGCGCTAGGGACCCAGGTAGAGTGGTGAGTCCAGCCAGCATGATCATTCATCTTAAGGAATGATCCCAGGGAGCAAGTTCAACCAGGGAACAGACAATTACTGGACAGGTGGTCAGTGAACCGTTGGAGGCAGCGTGGGGCTGGGGGTGGTGTGCAGGAGGGCTAACCATCCTGAATTTAAGGAGGGCTGGAGAAGCTTTTTGAAGGGCGGGTTATCTCTCCTGAAATCCTCACCTCCTTCTGGGGGTGAGGGGCTTACTTCACCACCCTGTTACTTAGTCTGAAATCCTCAGGGCATTAACAATAGCTCTCTTCTGAAGCAGTCCAACTTGAAACACACGGTGCTCCAAATCTTACCTATGGTTTAACTGCCGTTTTGGTTTATCTGTGCCACTGTTTTGTTCTGACTATGCAGAATGCAGTTGCCTATAGTTTCAGAGGTAGGGGACAGATGTGACAAACATGAGTATGTCCTTTCAATCAACTTAGGGGGTTGCGATTAATCTTGCACACACGTGTGCACACATGCTTGCTATACCCGAACACTTGAGCACCTACTGTGGGCCAGTCTAGGTGAGAAGGTTAACAACTCTGTGAAACGGGGGAGTAATTGTTCCCAGTGTTTACAGATGGGAAAACTAAGACCCAAGGTGATGAGCCCAGGGTCACAGAAAGTGCCAAGAGCAGCAGTGGATCCTACCCAGTCTGTGTCTGAGGACTCCTCACCTCCTCCCTCCAAGCAGCAAGGCCACTTGGCAAGGCCTTAATGTGCCTGGGTTTCAAGGTAGTCTCTGCTACCTCCCGCAGGCATCCAAGGCCTTGCCACTTCCCTATGTGTGAGACCCGAGTAAGAGGGAGAGAAAGGGACTTGTTCAAGCTATTCTTTGGTCACTGCCTGGGAGGGTGGAGCCGCAGGGGAAGGAAACTCTCTATAAATTGGAACTTCAACTCTTTTCCTTTTCTCTCCTTCAAGCCTACTGGATAGACAGGTGTTCCTGACATGGCGCGAATTTGTAAATGGATTCTTGGGGCAGTCATCTGAGGCGGGGGCTATATCTTACTCCAGGAATGAAGCCTCTTGTCTCTGGGTACCAGGACTGCATGAATCAAAATTAGCCTCACGTGGCAGCTTCAGCCTAGCACGTGATCAGCAAACACCTGCTAATGCACTGCCTGGGTGCCAGACGCTAGTCTGGGCAGGGAGGGGCTTGGTCTGGGTCCTGCCATCAAGAAGCTCTTACACTCAGAACCCAGTTACAGCCCCAAGTGCTGGCTCTGACAGGAAGGAGGAAGGAACCTCAACCTTCTCAGTGTGGCTGACGTTTGTCTTGAGAACTTGCTTGACGCTGCTCACGGGAAGTTCATGGTAGTGGAGATAACCCAGAGACAAAAAAATCACAGGAAGTGGGTTTTGTGGTAAAAGACTGTGAAGTTCTGAGCTGTGAACCTCAGGGGGACCTGAGCTCTACAAAGCCCTTCTCCCACGCCTTCCTTCCAATCTCAGGTGGCTAGGCAAGACCTGGCCATTGTGAGCCTGTGAGGCTCCCAGCGCCTGGCCTAGGCCTCCTAGGTGGAGGGAGGTGACTCCCCTAAGAAACACCCCTCCATTTGTCCCACCCTTTGACACCCCCCTGGACATATGACCCAGAGCTGGGTGTGGACACACAGGTGAGCCCATCCATACTCCCTTACGCCCTCAGATGACAGCCTCCTAATTTAGGTTCATCACCCCACCACCCCAACCCAGCATCATTCCTCATGACTAGAGTACGCGAGAACCCTGTGACCCCAACAGATGCCTCATTCAGTCCCATGATCTGAAATACCATCTATATGCAGATGGCTCCTAGGTCTTCCTTCCTTGCCTTGCCATCGTCACTTGGATGTCTAACAAAAGTGAAAACCGAACATATGTCTCAAACAGAGCTCTGAATTCACCCCCCAAATCTGCCCCCAAGTCTCTGCCATGTCAATATAGGGTGCCAGCTTCCCTCCAGCTGCTCTAACCTAGGAGTCATGCTAGATCCCTCCTTTTCTCACCTTCCACAATCAGTACATCCACAAGTGTTGCCAGTTCTCTCCTCCCATCCCCACTATCCCCCCAGCAATAATGTCTTCACTGCTCTCCTGGCCTCTATACTAACTCTCCCAGATCTATTCTTGACATGGCAGCCACAGTGAGAAGCAGAGTTCTCTTTTAAACTGTGAGTCAGGGGCCAGGCACAGTGGCTCCCATCTGTAACCCTAGCACTTCGGGAGGCTGAGACAGGAGGATCACTTGAGGCCAGGAGTTTAAGACCAGCCTGAGCAACATAACAAGACCCCATCTCTACAAAAAATTTTTAAAAATTGGCCAGGTGTGGCACTGCATGCCCATAGTCCCAGCTACTCAGGAGGCTGAGGTGGGAGGCTTGCTTGGGCCCAGGAGTTTGGAGTTGCAGTGAGCTATGATAATGCCACTGCACTTTAGCTCGGGTGACAGAGTGAGACCCTGTCTCAAAACCAAACAAACAAAAATCCCAAACAACTATAAATCAGATCGTGTTACTACAGTGGCTTAAAATTGCACTAAAAATAAATCTAAATATTAATAGTATGGTAGTTTCTTTAAAAAGATTAAAAGTAGAATTATCACATCATCCAGCAATTCCACTTCTGGGTATATACCCAACAGAATTAAAAGCAGAGGTTCAAACAGATATTTGCATACCCATGTTCATAACAGCATCAATCACAATTGCCAAAAGGCAGAAGCAACCCACTGTGTACCAATGAATGAATGGATGAACAAAATGTGGTATGTACACAGGATAGATTATTCAGCCTTAAAAAAGGAAATTCTGACAGATGCTACAACACGAATGAACCTTGAAGAAATTAAGTGCACTAAGCCAGACACAAAAGGACACATGCTATATGATTCCACTTATATGAGGTACCCAGAGCAGCGAAATTCATAGAGACCGAAGTAGAATGGAGGTTGCCAGGCACTGAGGGGAGGGAAACATGGGGAGTTAATGTTTAACAGGTACAGAGTTTCAGTTTGGGAAGATAAGAAAGTTCTGGAAATAGATAGAGGTGATGGTTGCACAACAATGTGCAATGTATTTAATGCCACTGAACTATGCACTTAAAAATGGTGACGATGGGATCTTTTATGTTATATGTATCTTACCGCATACATGCACAGGCACACATATGAAAAATCCAAACATTGCCCATGGTGTACAAAGGTCTCCAAGTCCAGTCCTGTTCATCTCCATAAACTCACTTGGTACCAGTGCTCTTCCTGCTTCCTTTCAGACACACCGCGCTTTCTGCCCTGCTAACCCGCCAAGCCTCAGGCCTTTGCGATGGCTGTTCCATCTGTGGGGAACATTCAGAGGAGCCTTTCTAATTACTCACTAGCCCATTAGCCATCAGTTTTTTCTTTTTTTGCTCTAATTCAGTTAAGCTGGTGGAGCGTGCCAGGCCAAGAGTGAACCCTCACTGCTGACCCAGCCACTCAGGAATGAGTTCTGTGTCCTGGTTCTGAAGTGGCAAAGAAAAAGCCTCACAGCCTAGCACTGGGTTTCCTTCCCTCCAGTATCAAATGCCCTTATACTCATGGTCACAGGGCTCCTGCTGGGTGCCTGGATAGGAGGAGAGCAGGGACATTGTATTTCAGCAGAGACACAGCCCTTGTGTGTGTGTGTAATGAGAGCCAGTTAATCTGATCAAACAGTCAAATGTGGAGGAAATTTTATCCCACTGTGGGCTGCAGAGATTTCTGACCATGGATCTGACGGTGTTTTTCCTTTTCCTGCTGAACTGAGCATTGCTTAAAGTATCTCTAGAGTCCGAAAGCCCCCAAGGCAGGGATGCTTATCCTAGGCTCCACGAGCTCCTTGGAATTACATGCAAAGATGTAGGTGTTGCATTTTGTGGGCAATAGTGCATTATTCTAGGAAGCTTTTAACAGATTATCAAAGGAGGCCAGGACCCAGAAAAAAAAAGAATGACTGGTTTAGGCTTTTCAGGCAGGTGCCTGAAAAGGCCTGGAATTGGCCTTAAGAGAGTCCAGGGCAACAGAGAGAGACAACCAGAGAGAACACGAACATGTGCCTGGTGGCCTGCTAGGCACAGGCACTTTGGAGGGGCTGCTGGGGTTCCTGCCAATTCCACCCTGCCAGGCACAGGTCACTCTGCCCTTTAGATGCTGCCTGGGCCAGCCTGGCATTATGGCACTTGTCTAGCTAGTCAGAGGAGTTGCCCAACTGGGCATTTGTACCTATGGACTCACAAAATTCCGGATGATTAGTTAAAACAGTTTACAACTCCTACCATGTGTGATTCAGGGGAAGGAGCTCCTGAAGGGTGGGTGGCACAGGGCTGGGGGGAGAAGGGTTATGAAGCGCCCAGTTTGAGAGGAAGGGCAGCTGACAGACTTGCTGCCATTCCACACCATCATTCCATTGCTACCAAGATTCCCCAGAGGCTGCTCCTAAGTCCCTTTCATATCTGCAAACTCTTCAACACTCCCCTTCCGGAAGCCTAATCTATACATCCCTCGTGCACTAGACCCTTTCATTGCATCCCTGAAACTTGCTTGCCTTTGCTTCGTAAGTGCTAAGTGTCTGTCCTCCCCAGGAAGGTGTGAGCTCCCTGAAGAAATGGGCTCGACAGTGCTCATGCTCAGCCCCTCCTTCCACTGTCACCCACAGTCCTAGTTCTCTTTTCAACATCACCCCAACCTACAGTGCAGGAGGGAGGCTGGGGAAGCAAGGAGAGGCAGCCGCTCTACTGGAGTGGCTCCAGCGCTTACACTGGGAAGTGTGGAGCCAGTTCCTGCTCTCACGGTGGCAGCTTGAGCACAGGTCAACCTGGGAGAGCCTCAGACACCATGTGCCACCTGCAAGGAGAGCTCAGCTCCTGGAGACTCCCAGTCTAAGGGTGCATCAGTCCCATAGCCCCTTTCCTGGTTCTAGCCCCGTCATCCTACTCTCAAGTAATTATAAGAACTTCTCTGGCCTCTGGGTCAGTGTCTCTTTTCGTGCCAATTACCGTCTTCCAAAGCTGCCATCCTTCTGAAACAAGGTCACGCTCCAGATGAAACACCTGCAATGACTCCTCATTTCTGTCTAGATAAATACTTTTATCATGGCATGAATGTCAATTCAACATCTTTTCAGTCTCATTTCCTGCCACAAACCTAAACTTCAGACATATCAGATCTGCCAAACACACATATTCATGGTTATGCTGTTCTCTGATTATGCTGTTCTCACTTGCAGGAATGCCTTTCGCCAACTCTTCTCTTCTAGACACTCATCCTTTAAGGCCCAGCTCCAAACTGGCCTCCACTGCAGACAAGCCCCAGCCATGCCAAGCAGAAATAACACCTCCTGCTATACATTCCCAAGTGCATTGTTCCCATGCAATGAATAAAATGAAACTAATGCTTACTAGTGCTCTTACTCAATGCTAACTACTCTGTGGCACAGGATGATCTCATTTATGACTTAGATCTCTCACCCACCATGTGAGCAAGCCAACTGTCCTCATTTTTAGAAGAGGAAACTGAGGTTCAGAGAGGCCAAGTGCTTGTCCAAGGTCACAGAGGTAGGAAGAATCAGAGCTGGGATTTGAATTCCTGGGTATTAGACTCTCCAGTCCACACCCTTTCACATCTCTTCAAGGTGTGGCCATGGCTCTGTGGTTGGTATTGTAAGTGGCCTTCTGACCTATGAGGGTTGTTAGCCTTTTTGGGGCAAGGTCTGTCTTATTTGTCATGGTAACCTCTTATGCCTAGGTCAGAGCCAGGCACAGAGTACTCGGTAGATGTTTGTGGAGTTGCTTTGAAGTGTGGAAGTTTGGTGAGCAACCTCACTTACCTATTAACAACTACAGCAAAAAAGCTGGAGGTGGAGCCTTCAAGAGCAGCAGAGGGGCCGGGTGCGGTGGCTCACGCCTATAATCCTAGCACTCTGGGAGGCTGAGGCGGGTGGATCGCTCAAGGTCAGGAGTTCGAGACCAGTCTGAGCAAGAGCAAGACCCCGTCTCTACTAAAAAATAGAAAGAAATGATCTGGACAACTAAAAAAATATATATAGAAAAAATTAGCCAGGCATGGTGGCGCATGCCTGTAGTCCCAGCTACTTGTGAGGCTGAGGCAGAAGGATTGCTTGAGCCCAGGACTTTGAGGTTGCTGTGAGCTAGGCTGACGCCACGGCACTCTAGCCCGGGCAACAGAGTAAGACTCTGTCTCAAAAAAAAAAAAAAAAAAAAAAAAAAAGAGCAGCAGAGGGATCTAGCAGGAAGGAAACAGAGGGGAAGGCCTGTCCCCACTCTCTGCCCTGGCTCTCCCAGCATTTCTGAGTTGGGGTTGGGCTTGGCAGCACTAAGGGAGTCTTGAAGGCTAAAGCAGCAAAGCTGTTGGAGCTCTTTGGGTGAAGTGTGAAGGAAGCCCATGCTCCAAGAATGTGGTCTACCTGTCCCCTACCTGTCTTCTTCCTGCTCCTGGCCCAGATGAGCTGTGATGCCAGGCAACAGGCTGTGAGGTGGTGCCTGGTCCCTTGAGAGGACCTGCTCTCTTTATCCGAGTGCCCATGGGAGACCCCAGCCCCCTGCTCAGGGCCCCTCTAGCCTCACCCTCAGTGCTGGCATCATCTACCAGGATGATCTCCTTCAGCAAGATGGCGGGGGTGGTGTGTAGGACACTGTACACTGTTCGCAGCAGCGTGGACCAGGCCTCGTTGTGGAACACAATGATGACGCTGGTGGTGGGCAGTGGGGGACAGCGCCGGAACTTCTGGTCCACACACCTGGAAGGATGAAAGTATGGACAAAGCTCTCCAGGCCCCTGGGAGTTCCAGAGGTGGGGAGGGCTCTGTCCAAGGATCCCTCAAACCATCCTCTGCTCCTTTGAGCCACCTGCCTACATTCTCTGCTGCAGTTGGGAGCAGCTGCTCCCTGTCCTTGTCTCCCCCTATATTTGCCACCCACTCTGAGGCTCTCCACAGGTTCTAGCCAAAGCACTCCAAAGTCCACCCCACCAGCTGTGATGCTGAGGCTCCCCCACTCCTTCTCTCATCTGCTCTCTGCTACCACGCTAGGAGTTCCCAGGGCTGACGCTCTCCCTCTGTAACATGTGTACTGCACAAAATGTAATCCAACCCAGAGCTCTCAGCGGGGAAGTAATAAAGGGCAACTTTGACATCTGAGAAAAGTGACTATGATTTCCACACTCAACGAGAGGAAAAGGCTCTTACCTTTACAATTTACAGTGTCTCTCTCACCCATTTCCTCATTAACTCCCTGTAATCTGACGCTACTATCACAAACAATTTCCTGTGACCTTTTTTTCTATTCTTATCCACTCCAAACATTCTGTGGCACTTGGCCATGCTGCCACCTTCTTGACACTCCATCTTGGGGTGGGGGTGGGAAAGTGTGAATCCTGGGTCTCAAGGAATCACGTGGCCTAACACCCTTTCTCAACCTCCTCTGCTGGTAGTGGATTTCTCAGGGACCCTCCAGAGAGCCTCCAACTTGTTGTACTGGCTGTCCTCATGCCCAACACCCTTCTCTGCTGAGAAGCTTCTGAGAACTCCAAGTGGCTTCTTGTCCCAGGGCTATAATACTTGGTCCAAGTCAGAGGAACCCAGGTTTACAGCTCTAAAGAATCATGAATTTGGGGATGAGGGCTGCCACATGAGAAAAGGCCAAAAAGGGTATAACTCTCGATTTGGAAAAGACAAAGGCTAAGTGGGGAAGACACAATTTTTTTTTTTTTTTGAGACAGAGTCTCACTCTCTTGCCTGGGCTAGAGTGCCATGGTGTCAGCCTAGCTCACAGCAACCTCAAACTCCTGGGCTCAAGCGATCCTCCTGCCTCAGCCTCACGGGTAGCTGGGACTACAGGCACACGCCACATTGCCCGGCTAATTTTTTCTATTTATAGTAGAGATGGGGTTTCACTCTTGCTCAGGCTGGTCTCAAATTCCTGAGCTCAAGCAATCCTCCCGCCTCGGCCTCCCAGAGTGCTAGGATTACAGGCGTGAGCCACCATGCCCAGCCAAGACACAAAATTTTTAACTTCAGGACAGCAGGAACACAGCCATGGCTGCATTAGAATGAGGGGCTGCTTCTCAAAGATCTATGTACTGGTCTTGTTGTCTAAGACTGGAAATATAAACCGCTTCAAATAAAGGTTGGAATCAATTCATGGCCTTATGGGCCTTTACTGGAGGAAACCAGATGTGAGGGTATCCCTGACTTTCAGGGCTACTGTCAGGAAATGTCCCCTCTCCCAACAGCTCAGCATTGGAGTCCCACAGCCTTAGCAGAGGGCAAGGCCACCAAAACCACAGCCTGGTATCAGTTCCTCCCAGTCACCCCTGTGCCAGGTCCTGGTGCCAGGCCGCATTCCTCCTTCTTTACCCTCCCACCTTCTTAATTGTGTTTCACTTTCACAGGTCTTCCTGGGCCTCTAGAAGGCTGGACTATCATATCATGCTCCTGAACCCCAACCCCTGGGATCAGTACAGTTGGTTTGGGAAAGAAGTGAGAGCTTAGAGGAAATTCTTGCCCATATTCTAAAATCTCCTTCAGCTCTTTTCCTGGCACTTGGCCTGTGGCCATGGTCATACCAGCCACTGCTTTGGCAAAGCCTTTACCTCCCCCCAGGACTCTGGGTGCTACTTACTCAGGGGGTCGGGTGTCTGGCCCCAGGGCCCTCTGCAGGGAGATTCGGTCACTGGCAAAGGCATTGAAGCAATGCTTCTTATAGCCCTCTTCCTTTTCCTGGGTCTCCAGGGGGGTCCACTTGCTCTTCTGAAATGCTTTCCCATCTGCCCCGGGTCCATTAGGGTCTTGTGGTGGCCGTTCCCAGAAAGGCTTCAGCTCAGCTGGGGTATAGAACCCGGGGAGGCAGGATTGGTTTGTGGAGACCAGAGTCTGCTGGGGTTCCGGAGCCCTGATTTGGAGCTTGGGCATTGAATCTCTAAGGTTGTTCACAGCCTCCAGCATGAGGTCCAGGACGTGATCCTTCTGGCTCACCAGGGACTTCAGCCACGGTTTCTCCGTGGCCTGCTCCCTGCTACTTACATCCCTCTGCAGGATGAAGAGGAAGAGCACAAAGGCACTGCCCACCATGGCCAGGTGCAGGGGCATGCGGCGTCTGCGGAGGAGCCTCATCCTCCAGGACCAATGGAGACCCCAGCCAGGTCAGCTCCAGAATCCTGGGCCTGACCCTAGAAATAGCCTGGTATGTTGTGGTGGCCACACGTTGGGGCCTCAGCCTGAGAAGGCAGGGATGAGAGAGAGAAATGAGCCAAGACAGGGTTAGGGAGGGAGTTGGGATTTGGGGTTCGAGTCTAGGCTCTGTTGCTAATGGTGACATCACCGTAACAGTCACAACTTTCCTGTGTCTAGATTTCCTTTATCCACAAAATGAAGAGTCTAGATTCAGTGTTTCTTTCCTGTCCCAAGATTCTGACATTTAGTAACCAAACACTGAAACACTATACAAAGATATTTAATTGTTATAATCACTTTGGGAAACAACTTGCCATTATCAAGCAAAATTTAAAATGAGCACACTCCATGAGGCAGCAATTCCACTTTTAGTTTTATATCTCTTTTAAACTCTGGTCCATGCAAACCAGGAGGCATACACAAGAATGTTCACAGCAGCACTGACTAAAACAGTAAAAACTGATAACAACCTACAAGTCCATCAGCAATAGAATGAACGAATAAAATGCGAAACATCCATACCATGGAGTTCTCTACAGCAATGACAAAGAGTGAACCATTTCTCCATGCAACTATGCAGATGTAATGTTGGGTGAAAAAAGCAAGTTGCAGAAAGACACAGACAGTATCATTCCACTTATAGAAAATTTAAAAACACACTAAAAGTAAATATCTTATTTATGAATACAAATATGTGATAAAGCTATAAAGAAAACTAAAGACTCAATATAATCAAAGTTTCTGAAGAAGAAGGAAAAGGTATAGGATTAGACACGGAGGACAGTGGACTTTGAGGTGCTTTTTCTTATATCGAATGGTGACTACTGGTATTGTTATTCTTTTTTTTTTTTTTTTTGAGACAGAGTCTCACTGTGTTGCCCGGGCTAGAGTGCTGTGGCGTCAGCCCAGCTCACAGCAATCTCAAAGTCCTGGGCTCAAGCAATCCTCCTGCCTCAGCCTCCCGAGTAGCTAGGACTACAGGCATGCGCCACCATGCCTGGCTAATTTTTTCTATATATTTTTAGTTGTCCAATTAATTTCTTTCTAATTTTAGTAGAGACGGGGTCTCGCTCTTGCTCAGGCTGGTCTCGAACTCCTGAGCTCAAACAATCCTCCCGCCTTGGCCTCCCAGAGAGCTAGGATTACAGGCGTGAGCCACCGCGCCCGGCCGGTATTGTTATTCTTAATATCCTACACACATTTTAGAAATATTCTTCTTTATCTACTCATATTTAATGAAAAAGAATTTAAAAGAAATCTAAGGTTCCATGACAACATCTTCCAGGCAGGACCAGGCATGGGCATTCGCCACCTTCCACCCCCAGGCACGTGGCCCCACATCCCAGAGGATGAATGCTTGCAGAACTTTCTGTGGAGAGCTCCGGAAGTATAAAGCTTACTGGGTAAGCAACTAGATGTTGGTGTCAAGAGACCTGGGCACACATCCCAGTTCTGCCTCTTCTAGTAATAGCACCTACCTCCTAGGGTTGTTATAAGGATTAAGTTCAAAAAAACAATTCACGGAAAAAGCTTAGCAGTCTCCCTATAGGGGTAAACTCTCAAAAGGTGTTAATTTTTATCATTAGCAAGTGTGTGGCCCTTGGGTGATTTACTTAATCCCTCTAAGCCTCTATATCTTCATCTATAAAATAGGAGTAACTAATACCTAACTCACAGGGTTGTGGTGAGGATTAAATCAGATAACGTATGTAAAATACTCAGCAGAGTACCTGTCAGACACTGAGCCCTCAATAAATGGTATCAATTATTTCTATTATTATAATAAATCCCTGCTCTGCTTCCCAGCAATTATCCTCAAGTACCTGGTCCTTGGCCAAAGCCACGTTCATCACCCCTTGCATGTTTTGCTTAAAAGTAACTTTAGTTGAACTACTTAATGGTGTTATTTAAACCCACAAGTTCCCACCTGTGGAGAACACTGGTGTCTGAGATCCGGGGAATACGCGGCTGGGATGATCTCAGTGGGGAGTGGGGTTCACTCTGGACTGGGGGAGGTAGGTGGTTTCTTTCATAACATCAGATTAAGCAGCAGCATCAAAAATCGAACAAAAGAAATATCTTTGAGCATCTATTTTGTATTAAGTATTGTCTAGGAGGTAGAAGAGAAGATTTGTTTATTGCACCAATATTTGTTGAATACCTGCTACCCGCCAGGTTCTTTGCAAGGTGTGAAGGATGCAGAGAGGAGCAAGCCTAGCCGTCAAGGATCATAGAGTCAGTGGAGGGAGTAGGAGTTTTAAACAGAGATTACCGGCCAGGCGCGGTGGCTCACGCCTGTAATCCTAGCACTCTTGGAGGCCGAGGCGGGCGGATTGTTTGAGCTCAGGAGTTCTAGACCAGCCTGAGCAAGAGCGAGACCCATCTCTACTAAAAATAGAAAGAAATTAATCGGACAACTAAAAATATATAGAACCGGGCATGGTGGCACATGCCTGTAGTCCCAGCTACTCAGGAGGCTGCGGCAGTAGGATTGCTTGAGCCCAGGAGTTTGAGGTTGCTGTGAGCTAGGCTGACGCCACGGCACTCTAGCCCGGGCAACACAGTGAGACTCTGTTTCAGAAAAAAAAAAAACAAAACAAAACAGAGATTACCCACTGAGAAAGCAGCATGAGACGGGTGCCCTCGAGTGCTGCAGGGGAGGGGGTACAGGAAACTCAGCAAATGGGGAGGTCTGTGAAGAAGTTCTGCAGGGGGAGAAACTTAGGCCAACTTGGGTGGAGCACTAACCCATGAGTAGGAGTCAGCCAGGCAAGGTGAGTGCATTTCAGGCAGAGGGAATAGCATATGCAAAGGCTGAGGAGGAGAGACAGCACAGCCAATCAGAGAACTGCAAGTAGTTTGGTATGATGGCAGCATGAAGTCTGATGAGTAGAAGATGGGCCTGCAGAGGCGGCTGAAGCCAAGTCACGAGGGCCTTGTTCATCATGCTGAAGAGTTGGCCCTTGACCTGAGGCATGGGGAGCAATAAAGGATTAGCTAGGAACCCAGCATCACAGGAAGAGCAATGATAGCTGGCAGAGGTTGTCTAGGAAAGGGACCCACTTGGCAGCTAGATGGTCAGTTAAGAGAGGCTTAGGGATTTGACCCAAGGTAGTAGCAGTGTGGATGGAAGACAGAGGACATGGTGCTAGGGAAACTCCCTTAGGTGAAGAGGTGGGACAGTTTACCCCATCTGGAACACAGAGGGACACAAAGGGGTATAAGGCTCAATTCCTTTCCCCAAGGTATTTTAAAATCTTGTTGGAGAACAAGAACTAGTAGCGCTGGGTAAAGGTAGTACTTGTCCAGGGAGGAGACACTGAATACTCTTTTGTACTTTGAACCCTATGTTATCATTCAAAAATTGAAACAATAAAAGCACATACAGTAATTGCCAAGCTAGGAAGGGTAGAGTTCCTAGTAGGCTTGAAGTAGGCTTCAAGGAGGAAATCGGGCTTCAGTATAGAGGCAGTTTCCTGTCCCAGGGGTGGAACTATGCTGGGGCCAGCACAGGGGGTTGGGGGTTTGCTTGAGCTAGACACCCCATCAATTCTGGAACTGAATTCCAGACAGAGGGCCTGCAGAGCCGGGGAGCGTTTGCCTGTGACAGTGTTGAGCCATCTCTCAGTCTGCATCTTCCCTGCTGCTTTCTGTTACCTCCCCACTCCAGCAAGAAAGAGAGCACAGTTAGAAACAAAGGCGTGGCAACACTGTAGTTACTAGCTGTTGCTGTGCTCAAGACTCACCTTCTTCAGGAAGGCCTCCTAGACTGATTCACTCAGAATCACAAGGTCACTTCAACTCCCTCATCCTGGCACTGTCCTGCAGTCCCAAGCAGTGGAGTTTGTCTTTGTTTCTTTTATTTCCCCTGGAGAAAGAGACCTCAGGTTAAATTGAGCTCTTCCCAGGCATCTGCTCTCTCAATCCAACCTGGCTGTCTGCTTTCTCTGTGAAACCTGTAGTTCCTCAAGGTGCTAACCACATCCTGAAACGAAAGCAGACACCTATGATTAGCCTTGGTGGTAAGGGACTCCCTCTCTAGTTTGTTTGCTCAGCATGCAGGCAACAGGAACAAGTCCCTCAGAAGAGATACATAATCCAATGGAAGCCACAGGACTTTGGGATTAAAGATTCCTGCTCCCTGTGTAGGAGATGATTCCCAGAAGTGTGGTTAGCAAGGTCCAGGAGGTCACCCCTCCACCAGCCTTGGAGAAAGAACAGCCCCTGTTATGGGACTTTGTCAAGTATGGGGCTTCACAGGGTTCCGCCTCCGGTGTCCTGCGGCTCTTCCTCACCTGTGCACTCCTGCAGCCTGGCCTCCCGGTCCTCATCGACTCACTCCCCTCCCCCTGCTGCTGAGCATTTGTTCCGGTCTTTTTTCTCCAGTCACCCTTGGACTTGCAACTCACCAGACTGTCTTAGTTTCCATACTGAGATGATGCCAGAAATCCTCTTCTTCCTAGGAAGCCTTCCTAGAGTGAACAAATGAGACTCACTTCCTGGCCCCATTGGCCAGAACACAGACTTACCTGCTCTCACTGGTGTAAGGAACTGAGGCTTCACCTAGCCCGGTGTCTGTCAAACCGCTGAATACAACTCATTATAGCACTGTAAAGTAAGGTTAGAGTGTTGTAAATCAGCATGAAAAAAATTATTTGAAAGACAACCAGAACAGAATGAAAAAGAAAATATCAAAGTGAGTCACATGTAATATGGGTAAATATGGTTTTGTTAAATTTTTATTTCAGTTACTATTTATATAGAGAGTATATCAAAAGTCTTAGCGCAGTTTTAAGGTTTAGTAACTTCAGAAGCATAAATGCTATAGACTTAATAAAAAACACTGATGGAAAATATTATCTACGATTCTTTTACCTTTATTCAGTTGTATGAATTTTAAATAATAAATTTTAAATTTCAATTTTGTATCAGGGCAATGTTTATCATCTTCAGTAGACTGAAACAAACATTAAAATAAAAATTTGTTATTTAAAATTCATGCAACTAAATAAGGTAGAAGAAGTTTAAATGACTAAATTTTCAAAGGATGGTTTTTTTGTTATTAAATAGTTTGTAGAATTTACACTTCTAATATGATTAAAGTATAAAGCTTCCCTAAGATTTCTGGGATTTCCTGTCACACATATGTGGGTACTAGATCTTTTGTAAAATGTCTTTCTTACTTTGGTCTAGTCATAGAAGTTTGATGCAGTCCTATCCCTCCATTTTATACCCTAGCCTCTTCCAAGAAGCATTCTCAGATCTCCTAGCAGAATTAATCTCTCCCGGCCTTGCCCCCTGAACACCCTGTTTTTACTTATACTCCAGCCTCATCACAGCCTGCCTTGTGTCTCCTTCATGTGTTTGCAAACTCTTGGACCAAGAAGGCCATGTTGTTTCCAGCTATTTATGACTTGCAAAGTCTAGCGCAAGTTTTATATGTACCAGGTGTTCCATAAACTCTTGTTAAATGAAATGAGGCCAGAGCGGTAAGCCCTAGCTTAAGCACTGGTTTCACTAAATGATGTTCTGAATGCACTTGCTACAAGTACTTGAGTTATAGGATGTTCTGCCATTGCATGGTAGCTTGTATTTTGACTAGGTCTGTCTGTTAGTCCAGTGCCCTCATTTTATGGGTGAGGCCAGAGTGGTTAGGGGACTTCTCTAGTGACACACAGCTAGTGGCTCCCAGGAACCGACCCTGGTCTCCCAGCTCCCAGGCTGCTGCTCTGTTCATCCACCTTGGAGGGCACATGGGGATTCTGGGGACTGAGCATAGCCTCCCTGAGCCTGGGGCAGGGCTGTTTTCCTGGGCCTCCCCCACTCTACTCTTAGACCCCCTCCCTGACGTTTGCTCTCCTCCCACTCAGGGATACAAATGCTTTAAAGTTGCCAAAACTGCAAGACCCAGGCAAAATCTTGGCTTTTGTGAAAGCCAGGGTCAGCCACTCAGATCACACCCTTGCTGGCCAGGTGGCCTTTTTGTAACAAAGTTTCTTTCTGCTTATCAACTAAGCTGCTCACCTCCTGTAGACGTGGCAGCAGGAAGTCGTGGAGCAGTCACTGACATTTCCACAGGGATGTTTGCTCAAGTTACTCAGACTTGGCTCAATTACAAGCTTCTTTGAGAGTGATGACTGTCATCACTCTCAACCAAGGGCATGGGTGTGTGTAGCTACACATCATTTGGGGAGGGGACAGGTCAAATTCAAGCTACTGGTGGGGGAAAGTCCTGGGAAGTTGTTTGGCCAAATGATCATCCTTTCTTCCTTGCAAGCACTTTCTCTCCATCAAACACAGCACTCATTTCGAGTCTTCTGTACTCACACTGTGAAGAGAGGAGCAAATTATCTCCTCTAGAGCCCCCCTCCCACCTCTGATCCTTTTGATTACAGAATGCTGGGAGGTTTTCACTTTTTCCCATACTTATACCTTCAAGATACTTCAGCTTTTCCCCAAGATTCAAGATGCAGTACTGTGGCTTATTTTCTCAGAAAGATGCACCGACCGGTATTTCTGTAGTTAGTTTATAAGTTACCTCCCCCAGCATACCTAGGTTCATTTTACATTTGCATACATTTTAAGCTTAAGTTATACAAACACGGATTTTCAGTAGAAAAATCCAACCCAACCTTGCTCACCACTGTATACTTAGAATAATGCTGGCATATGGTAGGCGCTTAGTAAATGTTTATTGACTTATTCCAAGTAAAAGTCACCAAAAATCAAAATAATATGCCACCAAGCAGGAAGTTCAACAGCTCACAGGTTTTGTACTGGAAGATTTCTAGGTGCTGCCAGGTGGGGCAGGGGTATGCAACTGTTCATCCCTAGGAATCCAGGATGGAGGGTCCCAGGGGGGACGAGATGGGATTCTCTAATCACTGAGGAACCCCAGTGACAATTAGGCTGGGCTTGAAACAAGGCAAACAAAGGAATTTGAATTGTGTCTTACCATCTGTTGGTTAGGGGGAGGGGAAGGGAAGGGATGAGAAGGGGTATAGCAGGAGGGCTATTCCTGAAGGCTTGGGCTAGTCTCCAGATTGGGAAGCAGGGTTATTGAAGATTCTAGAAACTGAGTTTTTTTCTTCTCTCCTCCCCACAGTCTGCTCTTGGCTGTAGAACTGGATACTCAACATATTTCACCCTGAACTCAGGGTCTGTGCCCAGCCCCCTTCCCAATTTCTCCACTGCTGCCGGTAGCATGGAAATCCTTCAAACAACCCTGTCCCTGCCCCACTCCCAGGCAGGTAGTTTTTAATCCCTTCTCAATGTCAGGTTCACCCCACGCCCACTCCCACTCCCAAGTCTTGCTGATTCATTCTCAGCCTCCTGGATCCTCCCCTTCCTCTCCACTCTCACAACCGTCCTTTGAAACTGTGCCTTTATCGGCCAGCATCTGGAGGATCAGCAGTAGCTGCCTGCCAGCCTGCTTCGCCTCAGGCCTCTCTCTCCCTTTCACAATCCCAACAGCCATGAGCATATTCTTTTACTGCCACTGGATTGTGGCAGAAACTCCGAGGGCCTGGACAGTCTGTTTCCTGTTTGCTACTCATCCTCGAGCCTAACCAGATTCTTGGCACCGGCTCTTTTCCTCCTCAAAGTCTTTCCTTCTTATTCTTGCTAAGCAAGCAATTTATTTTCTTTCGAATTCTTACTAGAAACCCCCTTCTTCCAAGAAGCCTTACTAGACTAAGGATCATCTCACCACCCTGTTTCCAGGTGTATTTGTTCCCAAATGTCACTCACTTTCCCCAGGTGAGACTTCCCCACTAGATTTTATGAAGGAGGGAGAACCAACAGGGCCAGACACTAGGCCACCTACATCCTGTTTTCCTTCTCTTCCCAATCTTTAAATCCCGGTCCCCACACTTCTGCCTCCAGAATGCTTTTCCTGAGCAATCCAGGTGGCTTTCCAATCCCTGTAGCATCCCTCTGCCCTGAGGTATATGGTTATGCCATCTTGCTGCCCGGGTTGTGTGTCCTTTGTTCTCTCTAATCTGTAGAGCTGAAGGTGAGGGTTGAGTTTCTTCCTTCAAACCTCTACCGAGGGCTCAGGACCAGCTTGCACAGGGTACAAGCGAATAACCTGACCCCATAGGGCTCTCAGGTCCCATAAAACAGTCCTTTTTCTTCCTGGACTGAACCCATCCTTGCTTACCACGCAAGCCTTTTGCACAGCACAATTACAGCATTGAGCTCGGCACAGAGACAGGCACTGCCCTGCACTTGACCTCTTGCTTATTCAAATTCTCACTCTCATCCCTAACAAATGAGAATGGACATTTTGGGCTTTCCCAGAGAGGGGCAGAGGACTATATGAAGAGCTGACTCCACCCAAGCTGTGCATGGCCATTCACTGGGTCTCTCTGGCATAAGACGTACCCACCGTGGTCCTCAGTTTCATTTCCAGAGTTGGAGATGTTGGACCATGTCCATGGGAGCCAGAGGATGTTTAGGACAATATCATCATTTTTAATATCAAATCAAGTTACAGTTATCTGCTCTGTTTTACACAAAAGAAAACCAAAGCACAGAGAGATTAAGTAACTTGACCAAGATCACACAGCTAGAAAGGAGCAGATGCAGAATTTTGCACTCAGGCCCATGTGTCTCCAAAGCCCACTCTCTTAACCATGACACCATACTGTCTTGCATTTGGCTGGTGCTTGGAGCTTTGCCAAAACACTTTCATATATACCTTCTCATTTGCTCCCCACCCAGGGAGGGTTTGGCCAAGGTTACACAGCTAAATTAGTGATAGAGCTGAGTCAGCTGCCTGTCTGCCTGCATTGAGAAGCCCTTGGCCCTAGGGTTAGCTGCCCTCCTAGTCTTGACTTCTGTTCTAGGCAATGGCTGCATGGACTAAGTCCATGCTTACATTTCCTGCCCAGATTTCTTTCAGCTGAACTTGGGCTAAGACATTTCTGATCTCAGAGGGCACCTGACACACATCAGGGCCTCCCCTTTTAGGGCCTTAGCTCTTCCATGCTGCTGTGGGTGGGAGTTAGCTGTCCTGCAAGCCACAGGCAGGATTTCTGTGGTGAGGTCATTTTGAGCAGCCCTGTATCCTTCTCCAGACTTCCCTCTTCCCTTTGACGGTCCTATCCTGCTTGCTGCCCTGGTGCCCTGGAAGAAGTTTTCTCTTGGTACCTCTGAGTTCCTAAAGTGCATGGCATTGCTAAAGAACAGGCGTTCGGGAAATGCTGGCAATGATACTGGCTGGCTTCTGTTGGATAATTTGAACGCAATTATGTTTCAAATCCTTTACCTGTCCTGGTTCTAGTTATCACATGAATTTGCCTGTCTCATCCTTCTTACCCTTCTTCTGATGGGTAGGGATACAGCTCATCTGTCTGGAGAGGAGAATAGGGCCAGCATAGTGCACACACCTCTGGTAAAATGAGCATAAGCCCTCAAGGCTCTTTGGTGTGTCCAAAATTATTAACCTCACCCAGTGTCTGTAAACTGCATTTGGGGCCTGGGGGTGTGCTGAGAAGCACAGCATCAACACCCTCTCTGGGACTGCTGTGATGGGTTATTGCTAATACAGAGGGTCTCTTCCAAGCTTTGCTGGCAAACTGACCACCAGCAGCCCTACACATGCAGGAGAGCCCCCTCCTATCCTCTGCAGAGCTTTGGGTCTAGGAGGACTGGCCCTTGGGGCAAGTAACAAGTTGTTTCTCTTTTCTGTCAGCCTAGGGCTCGGAACAAGTGAAGGGAAATCGGGAAGTTGGTGACAGTCACAGTCATGAACACTCAGCAGACTCCCTCCCTCACAATGCCATGCAGATCCTTCCCCACCCCCAAAGCCCCAAGCCTCCGCAGGGAGGTTAACCAAGCAGGGTTCAGACCAACCCCCACCAGCGAGCCTTCCCCTCGTTCGCCCCTTCTGCTCAGGCGCAACGTGGCACCGGCACCGGCTGGAGGGAACCTCTCTGAAAGATTTTCTGTACCAGAGCACATGCCGTGGCCCAATCTGGGGAGACCGGACACAGAAGGAATGCGGAGACATGAGTGGGTGAGGGGAAGAGGGTGTAGAGCCCTGCAGGGAGGGCTATGGCTTGTCCCCATCCTACTCCTGCAAGTTCCAGAGGTCTGGGCTCCCCATTCATCTCTTAGTTTCATAGGCTAAAAGCGGGGGGGGGGGGTCCCACCGAGGGAGGAGCCAGAGGCCACCGTTATAAGCAAAGAGCGAAGGCAGGAGGGACCAGTCTGGCCCAGCCCCTTCATTTTACAGAGGCGGGGGGTGAGGAGGAAGAGGAGGAGGAGAAAGCTGGCGGTTGGGGTGGTGGGGAGCGAGGACTTGGCAGAAGCGAGCTCAACTGGAGGCCAGTCCCGAGAAGCCAAGGAACTTTGGGTGCCAGGGCCGGGGAGAGGGTCGCGGGTTCTTTCTGCCGCTTACCTGTCGCGCCGAGGCAGAGCCGCCGCCGAGCGGCTCGCAGTTTCCAGACGGGACGGCCGGGAGGGTGGGGCCGGGGCGGGCCCTCCTCGGCCGCCCGGGCGCGCCCGCCCCGCCCCTCCCCTCGCGGGGCCAGGTGCAGCCCGGCTCCCGCCGCGCCCGCTGGCGCTGCCGCGGCTTGTGCTGATCTCGGCCCACCCCGGGGTGCAGTCTCCGCGGCCAGGCTCTCAGCGCCGAAAAAGATAGGCGTGTCCTAGCCACCCCAAAGGCTACTGGCACCAGCTGAGCCGCGGGCTGCGCGGGCATGGAACCGCAGCGTACTGCGCGCCGGCGGGAGCGCTCAGAGCCCGGAGGCCTCAGCGCCGGAGGGGAAAAAAGCGGCCGGGCAGTGAGGAGCCCGGCCTCGGTCCCAGGTTTGCTTCTCATTTGCTGGACAGTCTTGGGCAAATGACTCCTCCCCTCCATCCAACAAGAGCTAGTATTAACCGTGTGCCACTAACGTCGCTAGGGGCTCCAAGTGCCAGGTGGCAGGTAAACCCCAGCCCCAGCAGATGCCTACGATTATTATCCCGAATATACAAGAGGGGCGGCTGATCACACAGCTAGAGAGTGTTTCTCAGAGTGTGGTTCCCTGACCAGCAGCCTCATCATCATCTGAGAACATGTTAGAAATGTAGATACTTGGGCTCCATCGTAGACCTAAATGATCCGAAACTCTGGGGATGGGGTCAAGCAATTTGTGTTTTAAAAGACCTCCAGGTGATCCTGGCGCACACTGGACTTTGGGAACCATTGCACAAGTAGTGGCAGGGCTGGGATTAGAATTCAGGTAAATCCAGTTCCCAGGCCCATGTTCCGAATCTTATGGCCAGGGCCTTGCTGCTCGTGGGTCCTCACCAGCTCTGTAGTTCTGTGATGCAATCTTTCCGGTCCTTATTTTAGTAATAGAGAAGTAGCATGGATGACTCCAAATAGCCTATAATTTGGAAACTTTCTCTGGTAGAAACTTGAGCCAATAATTCTGTTTTTGTTTTGATATATAAATAGGTTTGTATTCCTAAGACCCCAAGACCTAGGAGCAGGGGCGTGGATGGGTAGATCCTAGCAAGAGGATAGGTCTCATATAAACTGGGAGGGGCAGGGAAAGCCACTTGGAGATTAACAGTTCAATAAAGAAAAATAAACTTGTTTTCTAATCTGGAGCCCCAAGGTAGGGTTTAGCTATGGAGAAAGAGGCCAGAGGCAGAGGCGTTTCGGGATAGAATCTGGAGAGAAGGCCAGCAGAGTGTGCAGAAGAGCTTGTTCGGCTACCTGAGGTTAGAGTGATGGGGAAAGACTGACATTCCCACGTGGGTAGAAAGGGAGGCGACCATCTGCCCTACTCTAAACAGCTGCTAACCCCTCCTCCTCCCACAATTCCCTTCCTTTTACAGCAGAGACTCTGGGGTTTAAGCTCCTAAAGAGAAGCTGGCTGTCTACAGATTGACTCTTTTAGCTCCTTTGCAGACTCTCAGGATTCATTCTAACTCACCGCCCCAGCTGCCTCCATCTTGTCACCTGCCTTACTTGAGAGCTATCTTTCTCAGCATAGGGGCATTTCCTGTGGAAGATTATGGGATGCTGCCTCTCATTTCTCTCTTCTTGGGGGCTGGACACTCCCTGTACAGGGTTGAACCAATTGTCTTTCCTCCTTCCTTCCTACCACTCTGCTCTGTGACTTTCAGGGGTTGTGTAATCCTGACCGGGGTCTTGAGGCTTAGTCAGGACCCAACCTGACCTGAGGTGAGTAATCTCTGTTCTTTCCCAGGACAGGGTCATGACCACTGTTCCCAGCCTAGAGCTCCTGAGAGTGCTGTGCCCAGCTTCCCAAAAAGGAGCATCGGTGTGTGTTTTGTGCTTCACATTCCAGAAGCAAATTACTCATCTGATTTTACTTCAGCTGACTCTGATTTTAAATGTGACTTTGAGTCCTCAGAATAATTAGCTTCCTAATTTGGAGGCGGATGTAGTCGGCAGAATGTGTGACCCACCCCTAATGTGTCATGCACTGAGCTATTCTCTCCTAGCAGGAAGGACGGTTGTGGCTCCCTCCCCACTGCTCCAGGAAGGCTTGTAGATAGGCCACCAAAGAATGATGACAGTGACTTCAGTCTCCACTGGTGGCAGGCCACTTAAAGAATGGTTTTCTTTAAATGAAAAAGTTATATATGCCGATTTTTTAAGGCACTATGAAAAGATAAACAATGAAAGCTACATTTCCTACCTCCCCGGACCTTCATCCCTCTCTCCAGAAATTATCTATGTATGTTCATAACTGAAACTTCCCATAAGCGCCTCTGTAGGACATGCCTGAACTCCCCTACCTGCGAAGACCCAAGATGACCCCTTCTTAGGAAGTCCTGTGAATTTCATTTGTTTCAATCTGGTTTTTATTTCTTGGTCATTTTAGATTCTGTTTTTGGGTGTTCTGAGTTTCACTTTTCACATCAGCGTGCTTCAGGGGGTTTCCCCACCAAAAGCAGGAAACCTGGTGGGGAGCAGATCAGTTGAAGTGAGACGAGGGCAACTCTGTGAGGCTGTTGACGTCAGCTCCGGCCCTTACCAGTCCCTTCCACACTTAGTCCATGGTGAGGGGACGCCCACCTCTGGGTGGGGCAGAATGAGGAAGACCTGACCTTTAGGGAGAGGTGCTGGCTCTACTAGCTGGGGAAGTGTGTGGGGGGGATGCCTTGAGCTTGCCCGGAGGTTAGGAGGGAAGCCAGCTGGCCCAGCTCACCCATCATTACCTCTTACCTCACTCCCCACTGCCGCCCACCAGGGGGAACTGAGCAAGTCTCCCTTTGCATCCTTGTGTCATACATAGTTTCTTATCTATAAAGTGGGGTTAGTGATGTCTAGAGTTGTTATGAAGCTCAAGTGAGATAACTGATGTGAAACTGTGACAGTTTGGTTCTTCTAAATTACATATTTCTTTACCTTTTTTCTCCCCATATTCATGTTTCCTCCTCATCTCATTCCCATGCTCAGAAGAGAAACAGTCAAAGCAAGAGATGTTTTGGGAACCCAAGCAGATCTGCTTCAAGTTCTGCCATAATCACTCATACGTTATAATTCACTCACCTCTGTGTGCCTCTATGTCCTCATCTGTTGAATGGATATATTATTTTTATTATTGGGTTGTTAGAGTAAATAAGCAAAGTGTTTAACTCATTGCCTGGTACACAGTAAACGCTCAATAGATGTTTAAATTGTTAGCCATTATTATTAGCTGTTTTTCTTCTTTCCTTACTTCATTCTTTCCTTCAACAAAATGCTGTTGAAGTCCACCATGTGCCTGCCTCTGTGCTAGCTATTGGATCAGATGCAGAAACACAAGGATAAATAAGCCATACCTCTCTCCTCTAGACACCCATGGTCTATGGGGAGGCTGATAAATGTAAAAAGTGTTTATTATGACTGGGTCAGGGCCAGGACTAGGTGAGATGAGTGAGGCACTTGCCTTGGGTGCAAAATTTAAGGGACAGCCAAAACACTCAGTAGTCAAGATAAATAATACTTTAATGCAATATTTTAAAAGCATCAAAATTAATGCAAAAAATTTATGATGGACAAAGTATCAAAAATTTAAAGAATAGAGGCAAAAAGAAAAATGTGCACCACTCCATATATGTTTTTCTGTATTTTTAATGGTTATTTTTTCCTAGAGCATTAAAGTAAGTTAAAAAGTAGGCATATTAAAACTCACAACATTATTTTAAGTATTTTATTTACTCCAAAACAGAATTTATTACGATTTTACTTCTGCTTAAGTTAATTACAATTTATTTAAGATCATCACTTGATCAAAAGAAATTGTCAAACATGGCAATCTCCCAATTGAAAATGAAATAAGCAAAGAAGATTTTGAAAATATTACTGAGTTTGCTTGCATTAAAGCCAGGAGCTCGTATTTTCCCTTTTGCCGCAAGCTCCAATACGGTTCAGCATGGCACTGGATTGGGATCTGGACAAGAGAATAGAGGGGGCATAAGAGAAAAGGAGAAAGGGCCGGGTGCAGTGGCTCACCCCTTTAATCCCAGCACATTGGGAGGCCAAGGTGGGCAAGAAATTCAAGACCGGCCTGGGCAACATAGGGAGACTCTGTCTGAAAAAAAAGAAAAAAAGAAGAGAGTTGGGTGTGGGGTGGGAAATATATTGTTTTTTCCAATTATCCAAATATCACCTTTTCAATATGCAAAATTTAGAATGTGCAGAAAACCACAAAGAAGAAAATAAATTATCCATAATTATATCACCTAATGATAACCAATGTTTCTATTTTGGTATAATCTACTTTTTTTCTATGCATATGTAGTCTATATGTACATATGTATTTCATCAGTTCTAAGATGCATCTTTTACTTTTTAACATTTCTGAAATTGGGATCCATCTTAAATTGACACTGTCATAATTTAGCAGTGTCCTTTCATTTAATGGCATATAAGATAATGATTTGTCCTTATAATCTTATGTTAGATGACTATATATAATTAAATTATACAGAGATGAAATTACATATGTGTGTAATTGCGATATGTATATTACAAAACTGGGATCATATTAAACATACTGTTTTGTGACCTAATTTTTTTTGCTTGCTATAGGGTGGATATTTTTCAAGGTGATAAAATAATCTTCATAAGATCATTAACAGCTGCATAGTAGTTTCTTGTATATATAAGCCATATTTTTTTCTCAACCTACCATAAGTTGCAGGACATTTAGATTGTTTGCCTTGTTTTTCTATCATATATAGCTGGCTATTCCATTAGAAGTTAAATCTATATATATTTTTTTCTTTCTTTCTCTGTCCCTTCTCAAGTGAAGGAGGAGAACAGAAAGTCGCCTTGGTTAGCCTTTAGAGGCTAAATTACCTTCATGTCCTTTAAATTGCTCCTTCTCCCCAAAGGAATATGTGTGTGAGTGTGTGTGTGAGATTACCTTGGGAGGCGTTGAGGAGAACACCAGAAGTAGGCATGTAGACTACAGGAAAGTAAAATG